TAAGTACTGATATAAAATAAAAAAAGAACTGGATTGACTCTTCCTTAACTATGACTGTAGAGTGAAGAGCCAAAAGACAAGTAGATAGAGAATGAAACCTGGTCAGTCCAAGCAATGTGAATATGATGGATACTGCTTGACGATAGGAACAGAATGAGTTTACTAGAAAGATACTGTCGACATTGAAAGATAACAGAGAAGAGTGTGTTGTTTGTGGCCTAAATCCACTATTGTCTGTGGATAACCAACAGCGATTGCACACACAGGAGTTGCTGATAAAAGTCCATGGTAAGACTCGAGTGGTGGGTGTTGAGTTGCCATGAGGACTGGTGGTAGAGAGTCTATCTTTTCTCTAAGGGTGTCTGTGGTGTGTATTAAGAAAAGCCGTAATGGAGAATAGCATAGTGTATATCCCAGTGCAACGAGCAATAAGCAGCGATAGACTCAAACAACTGAGACTGTGTTTCTAGATGACTCATGACGTTGAAGATGACGCTTCTCAAAGAACAACTTCTTTTCCAAACAAAAATAACTCTAGAGTCTATTGTGTAGTGAGTGGATGAGGGAGGACGTTGTTGTTGAACTCCAGTGCGTTGTGTTGACTAAAGACAGTACAGGCTCAGGTGCAGGTGCGGGTATTGTTTGTTTGTTTTAAAGGGTGTCTATAGCAAACAGTGCCTGGGTATTGGCGGGAGGAGCCGTGATTGTGCGGTGAGCACACATCGTACTCAACAGACACAGCATTTTTAATCTGCGGTGGCCATTGGAAGTACGTAGAATAAGCGAGGCAGGCTGGACTCTGTTCTGCTGTAAGACTGAGAGTTAAAGCGGCACTCACTGTCTATTTACCAAAAATAAAATAAAAGGCCCTTTACAAAGTCAAGCAGTGTGATGAGTACACATAGCAAGTAAAACATACACACACTTCTTCACTGTTTATTATTATAACTACTCTATCTTCATTATGGATATAGATATAACAAATCCACAGTGCAATAGACTGCTTATTATCATTTTCTTAATTGTTTACGGCATTGTCGCGCTACCTACAACAATGGGACCAGGCAAAAAAGGGCGAGCCTTAAAAAATCCTGAGCCAACAAGCATGGAGCCACCAGCTTGTATCCACCGCATATAATAGCCACAATGCAGAGCCACCAGCCCTAACCTCTACAATGCCTAGGATGGAGGGGAACAGACAGGATACTTATAATGTAAAAGAATAGCCATGTCTAGCGACCACATCGTCAACACTGCAGAGGGAAGGAAAGATAGTTGCAGTCTATGACTATCAACCATATGTTCCTAAAGGTACGCCATGGAATTAATAGGCCAAAAATTAAACTACTCTCTTTCAACAAACACCATTCAGACCAGAGAGTTTTCATATTAAGAATCAACCCTCCTAGCCTCATTTAATGCCTGCAATAAAGAAGAAAAAAAAGGTGTGGAAATAAAGCGGATATTTATACCTTTTTGACTAGAGTAGGAGATACAAATCTGTGACTTAATAATGACTGCTGAGTGAATCACGCGAATCGGCTGTTGAAAATAAGAACAGCTGTAGGTGGTTGTTATAGGGGTAGAATCAAGTGAGAAAAAACTTCATCGGCTTCTGTGTGCTGATTGGCCTGATTCAGTGACTAAGAATCACCGTGTATTATTATGTTCCCACATTAATAAGTGTGCCCTTTGATGGAAGAACAGAACACCTATGCCACTAGAAAAAGACAGTGGCATAGAAAGAGACTCTTTTGCAAACATAGTGAGTGTATCTCCTCTTTTGTATTTCCTTCTCAGTTATCTCAGCACTGTCAGGGCATTAAGAGAGAATGGGTACGTTGACCCAACAAGATGAGCATCGTGAATCGGATATCACAGCTCAATCAAATAAGACCCTATTTTGGCATCCGATGATTCTATTCTTTTTAGACGCATCTGTCTTATTACACTTCTCTTTCTTTTTAATTTGTATTTCTATCATTGGCAATTAAAACAATCTACAGTGAGTATGATGCACCTTGCTCAATAATACTTTATCAAAGCACAGGTTCACAAAGGTTGCAATAAAATAGGAATGTGACAATGAGGTTCAGAGAGAAAAGAATAACGTGACACGAATTGTGAGACTCATTATGATTTGCCGCACTATTCTCTGTTTGATTGATGGCACTGCTTCACCACTAGGTCTTTTGAGATACTCACCATCTATCAATGCTATGTATAACTAACCACAAGCATCATTCATATTATGGATGTACCAATTGTCAGAAATAAGACTGTAGTTACTGCTGTTAGAGATTTGGGACATTGATTCATCTTTTCAGTCCGGACAGTTATTTCATCATGCCAACACCAAGCTGTAGAAATAAAAGGAATGCATCAGGATCCACAGTTCCTGGTGTGTGTGAGTGTGATATTTGAAGAGAAAAAAAAAACTTCCAGAAAGTGAGAAAGAATACACTCTTTTGTATTTTGAGATATTTTATTATTTTATCAACAGCATACCATTTGTTATAGAACTCAAATCAATCTTTTTTTTTAAAAAAAAAAAGTTACAATAGACAAGGATAATACCCAAGACTTCTTCAACAAGCAAGTGATATGCACTAAGTTTGAAATTACAGTGAGCACGTTCAGAAAAAATGATTAGGAAAACAAAGATTGTTTGCAGAATAAACAGAAAGTGTTAAGTTTTTTGGGATGGCCACAGAGAGTCACCATGAAAAAAAAATTTCATGTCTCTGTTGTTTTCCGACTTCAATCCAAAGATTCTCTATGAATTGGTCAACACGAGTAGTATTCTGTGACATTCAGAATACTCTATGAAAGCTTGGGTGCACACAAGTACTATAGTACATCTCTGTATCAATCTCACTGATCGGTCGTAACTACAAATCAACCTTCTAAGCTCAATATACTATCGGACACTTAATAAGAGTTGCCTTCATCTATAGATCCTTAGTGGATAAAATAAGACCTATCAAAGGCAATTAAAGTGAAGAAACATAGTTGATGGCTCTATAATGGTGTGCTTATTCAATGAACCAACCATACAGATGTATCCATCAATAAGCCATGCCATAAACTAATCATGAACTACCAAAAGGTAGAATACCACTGAAGGATAAGCACCCACAAAAAGTATAAATAAGGAACCACTCTTCACTTTATAAAAATTATCTTTGTTCAGTCTCGTTATTTTCTACTTGTATGAATAATCACAATAGGTTTAACTACAGGAAGCACATAGGTGTAACCATGGCCATTGAATAGTATATAAAGAGTTGTATATCCCATTAAAGGTAGCCTAATGTTGGATAAGGTCCTGTCATTCATCAGTCACTTTATTCTTCAGTTCGGATAAAACATTCAATACATCTAGCCTATATGCTCTTATTTCATATTCTTATCATGTCTAGTCTATATTTGTGATTTGTAGAGATGAGAGGCTGCTGCCATCAATAGTCTGCAACCAGTATGTTGGCATGGATATATTATTGTGGTATACTGTGTATCAAGCGAATGATAATACAAAAGTTCTTTAGGTATTTGTGAATAACCTCATAGTATAGACTATAGCTTGGACTTCTTTTTTATTTTATTTTTGTTTTCATATAATAATAAAAACATGAGATATGCCAGGTATTTCAGGGATACAACATCTAATCAACCGAGACTGAGACTGAGACAGTCTAAAGTCTGGCTTTACAAATAAGTAGACTAATTGATAGACCTATATATTAACGAAACCATATAGTTTTGGATAGAAATCAATATGTTTCTTGTTGGTGGATAAAGCACAATTGATGGATGAGGATAATGTGAAATATTAGTCACTCTTATAAGCATGGATGATGAGAAATTAACTGGATTGCAGGCTATCCAATGAAAGAAACAAAACTCTTGAACAGCCTCTGTATAGTGACACTTAGTGGAATAGACTTTCGCCAACCACACCTGATTCTAATGATGGGAGATTGTCACTTGTCTACAGCTCATATTCTCTTACTGTTACTGTTACTCTTTATTGCTACACTATATCATATCGCTTATTTAACTTATTCCATTTTGAGCAATTCTCTACTTTTTTATTCTTTCTTTAACTAAATCTTTTAGCAAAAACATTGTCATCATCTCTCAATGTTATGTACCTCTCAACTAATATCATTATGTATGAATCAATGAATTTATTTATCTGTCCATCTGAAGTCTTATCTTTACCTATCATTAATATTATTATCATCATCACCTGGATCATATCCTTAGAGAATGATTGAAATATTTCAATTATAATTTAGTCACTTTAATATAAATGCTCTTGGTACTGTATCAATAAAATATCAAACAATCTGGCTGCTGATGTTAGCTATTATTTTATTCTAGATCAAAACAATATAGACTAAAGAATAGTACGGGCCATACTCCATTGCATGTGACATATAGGCTTTTATTTATATTGCTAAGCACCGGATTTTCTATTTGGAATAACTTCTAGTCTCCAAGCTTGTTGTTCCCCCTGTGAATTCTAGGGCCATACTTATTCATCACTTGGTGTGTCTTTTATCCTTTTTTAATCTTGTTCTTGTTGCAGAGTCCAAGGATTATTTTCTCTTGTTTTAACTGTACTTTTTTCAATTGTGTACACCCAAAGATCCAATGTTAGTCATGAAATGCTGCATGATGGTTTTAGTGGCAAGTGTGATAGAAGCATGTGCTTTATGAGAGAGGCCTATCATTTTAATGGGTTAAGAATCTATTCCAAAAGTGTGTATACAAAATACCACTTATAAATACCTACACTATCTTTAAAAGATACTTTATATCCTTACAAGTAGAGTGAAGAAGTGAAGAAAAAATAAACGGTGCTTTCTAATGTCAAGGCCAACTATCTGGTGTAACACATTTTATGAGCTTAGAAAAGTAGAGGGGAGGTAAAAAAAAATGTGTATATGAGGCTATAGAGAAAAATGCAGTGAAAACTATGTAAAGCAAAATTTTACTCTAGGTGAGGATTGAACACACGACTGATTACTTTTGAAAGTAGCAGCTCTACCAGTGAGCTATCCAGAGCATTATATATCTATCCTATTTTCAAGAAGTAATCCCCTGATGCTCAGGCATGCTATCTCTAGCTGCCCCTCCTTTTATGTGCAGATTTATAGACAGCGTATCTTATTCAGAGTCATGTGATCAGTCACATAATGCACTGAAGCCAAAGAAAGCGTGCAACATTCCAAGTCCTAGATGGTTTTCTTATCTGTGTATCTCACCTTTCTATTTCTATAACTTCATGAATATATTCCATACTGACATTGAGTGTTTAGTCAGTAGATAAAATAACGTTTTTATAAGTGTGATTATGAGTTTATTAGAATAGTATTTAATATTTGGTGAAGTCGTCCTTGGTGTCAATCACATCGCACTGTCTTTGCCTCACACCTTCAATAAAGCTAACTGTATATTTCTTTAGGTGGTGCAACTCATCTTATCTCATTGTAATGAAAATCTTTAGTACTCTCTTTAGCACTCTCTTGGTGAGTAAATATTCTTTTTAAATACGTGGATTTTAGTTGATCAATATATATTCACAGACAACTAAATCATAGGAACATAAGAAATTAACTATCGTTTGCAAGCGCATCTGGATTATGTACTACACACGTGTCAATACTCACGAGTAAATAATAATCCGTGACTCAAGTATTAGGCTATTTATTTAGTGGTAGATATGATGATACACACTCTACACTCTGGTTAATGCAAAAACATTGATATAGCTAATACCCTATTTTAATAGAATTTTGAAATGTGAGAAAAGGATGTCTCTATCTGCATTATTGACCAATGCACTTATAAATGCACCAATTGGCAGTGGAAACTAGCTAACGTTGCAAACATGTATAAAGCTTGTGGGTTTCTACGCTTTAGTAGTAGTAATAAAAAAAACATCTTGATCTGATCAATACTCTGTGACAATAGTTGAGCACAATAGGCTCAGAGGATATGGTAGTTGAATTTCTTTGTGTTTGTTCTATTCTCTAAGTTTATTTCTTCTTTATCGGTCTTCTTGTGGTCCATGCTGGGGGTCATTGTTACACCAGCCCACTACACCTACTGGTCATATCTGTGTTATCGATGACATTTACTATTTTCCCTCTACTGTCTACTTCTCACATCGGTGGGGACATCTCCCCAAATCTCACCTGTGTCCACTACTCTGTGTCGGTAGAAAGCCTTTTTAAGTTCTACACACCACCTATGATCTTGCATGTGCCAATATTACATAACCTTTATTGGTATAGTATTGTAAGGTGGATAGAAACAGAAAGGAGATACTAAACACTGGGATTAAATATGGAAGAGAAGAAAAAAAAGGACTGTTCTGTTTCTGTAAACAAAAATGATTACAATATTTCTTGATATTAAATAAACTAAAAAAAAAGTATCATGAGAACGATTGAAAGATTGGCTGAAATAAAGTTACTTTGATCGTCATACCGGAGAATGAAAACAAGGGATCAATGTGGGGTAAAAAAAAAAGATAGTAGCTCTGCCCTATTGAAGCAACAATCACAGTCCTTCCAAAGCAACATGCATTTATAATCTGAATATCTTTTCTTCTCCTCCCAGTGGGGTTCCTTTGTAATGCACTATAATCATTGGGGATGTAGAACAGGCCAGATGACAGAAATGCTTGGCTGTCATTTACAACTCTTTCCGGTTTCACTACTGTGATATATGAATAGGTAGAAAAAATAAAGTTTTTTTCTATAAAGAAAATAGATAATCAAATGAGTAAATGTTAGTGCTGAAATTAGAAAGGCTAAAAAACACAGTGTGTCTACTGGTTGTCTCTTGTTGTTGTCATCATTGTTCTGCTTGAAATCCATGTTTGATCGAACGACTCTTCTCTCGGTTTCAAATACATTTTCATATGAAAGTCTACAGCTCATAACTATAATTGTAACGTGTCAATGATGAAATCTTAATAGAGACAATGAGATAGAATAGATAAGAATACAAGAATGTAAAGTAAAAATTTCTTGTATGATCAAAATTACGCTTGCTGCCATTTTAAGTATTCAATGCCTATTTTTTCATGATTATATAAAGAGTTATTGCTGATCTCGCTTTTTATTTTATTTTAATTCTTGTTATCTTCCACGTTTACTTTTCTCATAATGCTTAACAATACTGATTTTTCCACGCTGTCCCCTCAAGGACATGAGTCTTTTGACTTGATGTTTCCTGGTGCTTTGGAGCAGGAGCAGATGATTACAAAGGAGATGTTGAATTTATATTATTCAAGTTTCTCTCCTGAAGAGCTAGAGAAGCTAAATGCTATGTATTCCGGCCTTGATTTGAAGGAGTCCTTTTATGTGGAACTTCAACACGTGCTTGCACAAGAACAGGAGCAGGAGCAGGATCCCCATCAACAGATGATAACCCGTCGTAGGCTATCCGCTAATAAATCTGTAACAGTTACCACGTCAATGAAAAATGTTGAAGCAATTGAATACAGTCATTCTGGCTGTACAGTTATCAACTTCATGTATCCAGAGAACCGTCTGGAAAAGAAATTCACAATAATGACAGACATTGATGATATTGACATCAGCAAAGTTGATAGTGACTTTATAGCAAAAAATACAGTAAGTATACTTTTTATTTATTTATTTATTATTATTTTACTTCAACTTGTTTAATTATTAATTTCTCTTGTTTTTATTTAGATATATCGTGGTGCTGCAGTCCATAAGAACGACTACAAGGGAAATAGATGGCACTATGAAAACGAGTTTAATGTCTTGGGATGGAGGCTAGCCTTCCTCAACCAAAAGGAAATTTCTGGAAAACTTGGAGCCTTACAAAGGGCCGTAGACTGCTATAGAAGTTTACGGCCCCACATGCACTCTAGACGTGTGTCTAAGAAGACTAAACTGAACAACATTGTTAAATTTAAATTAAGATCATAGACAAGTTTATTTTATTTTATTTCATTTTTAAAAATTTTATACTTGAAGTTTCTGTTTCTTTAGAGGGAAACTCTAGTATTTTTGTATAGGACATTTAGCATTATGGGTTTTTTTCTGTATCACTATTTTTAATAAAAAAGAAAATAGCAGTTTTTTTTAAAGAAAAGTTTAAAGATGGTATTAGAGTACTATGAGCTTTTATAAGTATATGGATTTTAAAAAAAATAATAAGAATAATTGTTCTTATTTCAACATTATTTTAGAGTAGAATAATCTCTCTTTTTTCAAACAGGCACAATTGATATTAGTATGATATACATATTTACTATCATGTGTTTGTATGCATTAGATAGAGCAACACTATCCCCTCCAAAGTAAAGTGGCCAGGAAAATGTAATAGTGTATTTTCTATTTCCGGGTTATTTCTATATTAAAAAAAACAACATACACTATTTTTTTATTTTTTCATAACACCTCTTTTCTTATAATGTCTAACTTATCCAACACTGAAAAAATATTCACTAATATCTCTGAGATGTCCGGAAATTATACCATTCTCGATACTTGCTTAGCTATCATCCACCAGGTATTGAACCTAAAGTCTACTCAGGTCTAAACATCTCGTATGTTCAACGTGCCTAATTCTGCTGTTGGATAAATCATAAGGCATTTCAAAGAAACAGGATCAATGACTTCTTTACCTAAGAGAGGTAGAAAGAAAATATTGGACAACATGGCCCTCAGATGGTTGAGAAGAAGTTGTAGGCAATTCTCAACAGACCAAAGAAGCATTCGGGTAGACATGACCATTGAGGTTTTAGACAAGACTTTGAAGAAGTAGATTAATGAAATAAGCTTCTATGTATGATGTCTGGTGGTCAAGCCTATTCTCATCAAGAAGAACATAGAGACAAGACTCATGAACAGTAGCATGAGGTTATCTGATCGGATGAGTTCTTGGTTGAGGTCATAAGTCATGGTAGGAGCATCAAAATTATCAGGCAACATAGTAAAGACTTTGAGGCTAAGAATGTCAGAAATAAAAAAAAATTGAAGGCGTTGGGAGATGGATCGTAGTGGAGGGTAGGATAAACTCCGACAGGTACAACAGTATTTTGGGAGAAGTCTACTGCCATGAACTCAAGCGTCTCTCTCTCCTAAATTTTAGAGTCAGTTACCATCTACAGGAGGTCAATGTTGAGCCTCATACGATCAAAACAACTAGAGAATAGAAGGTAGCTAATGGTATAGTGATCAACTTTTAATGGCCCTCACAATACTGATCTCAATCTAATTGAGCATCTGTGAGCCCACCTCAAGAAAATCATTAGGATGGACAGGAGGAACAGAAGGGTATATACCACCAAGGATAAGTTAGAGGCGGCCCTGATGCTGGAATGAAGGAAATTATCGAAGGAAGTGACAGATACCTTCATTGACAGCATGAGGCGGAGATAACAGGCAGTGATAGATGCCAAGGATGGTCACAGTAATTAATAAATAATCTTATAATAAAACACACTGTTGTGTATTATCAATACCATTATATGTATCTATTGAAAGTTTTACTTCTTTACCTACAATGTTTAGCAAAAACTATATAACCCCTTTCATTTTTTGATATTCTTAAGCAAAAAAGAGTTTTTCTTTTTCTTTTACTTATTCCTCATTTCTTCTTTTTTTACTATAACATCTATTATGTCTAACACTACCGAACAACCCACTAAGACTATTGGGAAAAAAAAGAAAAATATTGACGACTCTGCTTGTCAACTCATTGTTCACGAGGCCACTCAACATGGCACCAGCCAAGTGGATATTGCAGCCATGTTTAGTATCAGTAGTCACACTGTCAGCCTTATTATTAAGAGAGATAGGGAGACTGGCAATTTCAAAGTAGGGAAGGTGTGATTATTCATACAAGTAGAAAATAACGAGACTGAACAAAGATAATTTTTATAAAGTGAAGAGTGGTTCCTTATTTATACTTTTTGTGGGTGCTTATCCTTCAGTGGTATTCTACCTTTTGGTAGTTCATGATTAGTTTATGGCATGGCTTATTGATGGATACATCTGTATGGTTGGTTCATTGAAT